TGTCAAGCAAGCAGTTTTCTGGTATTCTACCAATTCAGTTTCAGTTGCAGGTAACTCCTATGAGAAAGAAACCAACTGGGATACATTTACATCAGTCCCTCTGTTCCCTGATCAAACTTGCCCTGCACAGCCCTAAGTCTTCAGGAAAATCAGCACCGAGCACAGCACCTTTAACAATGTTAATCTCTAACTGACATGTTCACTAATCAGGGGTGTGCAAGTCCAGTCCAGGAGAGACTCAATCCAGTAGGTTTTAGGACCAGTTCTATAAATTAGTGGTACCTGAGGAAAAATGAAGAACATTTCACCTGCTTCAGTTAAACCAATAATGAGCTCAACTGAGGTGTTGTGAGCTGAACTGGAATGAAAAAAAATAATTGCCTGTTAAACATGGATACTACCTAAAAGTTGTGGGTTGGGTCATGCCATATTTTTTCTCCTTCATATCATTATAGAAATCTCTTCTCTAAGGCCCAATCAACATCAGCTTCACACAGAGTTGCTAAAGGTAGGATCTGCTGTGAAGAGGGAAATAAAAACCTAAAATGAACATTTTAATCACATGGGCCATCACAATTGTTGTATTTATTCACAAAGCATAAAGAGCTTGTTAAATCAGGAGCTAATAGAAATGGTGAATAGTTTGGTTGTCAACACAAATTACATTGATTAACACATCAACTTTCTGAAAGTCTTGAATTTCTAGATTGATTACTTACTAAGTGTCATAATTTGCAGCTCTCGGTACACATTTGACAAATCAATAAGTCTTTGTTGTTGTGTTTTTTAACTTGAGTTACTTCAGCTCACGAACAAGCTTGCTGAAGTTTCCTACTGGTTAAGATAACATTTCTCAAGAGCAGCATCCGATTTGCACATTTTAAGCCTCTGGGACAGACTCCCAGTTTTCTTTTACTAACAAATTGCCTTTAATTTTTTAAAATGTATTTAGTTTCACTTCTCTTTGAATTATTTAATTTCACTCCTCAAAGCCAGCGTTGCCATTAGGAAATCACACACTGAATCACACAGCAAGTGATAAGAGGATACAAAACTGCTGCCTGTGCAAAACAAATGTCAGATTTTAGATGTGCGATATTTCTGTGACAACGAAAAACATGTATCTCTGTCAGACTACCTTTTTTTAAAAAACAAAGCACAGCAAGTGAGATGACCCACAAAATAAATAGCAAAAAAGCTGCTAACATTTATGGCTCGGTCATAAAACAATTAGTTGTCAAGTTAAGAAATTTAATTTGGCAGTACAGAATACGATTTGGGATCTGTGTCAGGGTCGATGTGGCACAAACAAGAACAAAACATGCTCATGAACCAGAGGGCACACTAAAAAAATTGCAATGAAGTGCATTTCAACCTAGAAGCAGGAGGCACTTCTTTACTCAAAGAGTTGTGGGAGTGTGGAACAAGCTACCTAGCCATGTTGCTGAAATCGATACCTTAGTTCCTTTCAAAAAACAGCTAGATGAGATCAATTACCTACTAACTACCAACCGGGCTGAATGGCCTCCTCTTGATTGTAGGTTCTTACATTCTTAGGCCTGCAAGTACTGCATTAAAGATGACCAAACAGACACAGGAGAAATGAATGCAATTTCAAAGTTTAAGTTGATTTAAAAGCCTACTGTTGCCTAACTCAATTGCCTCCTTTTATTCAGACACCCTTAAGATGCAGTTTGTTTGGCAAAATAAATCCATGTGCACTGTTCTTCCGCAGTCCAGAAATTCTTGCTCGCCTGCTGTTAATTCTCAGCTGCGAGGAATCAGAACCCATCTTACTGCTAGCACTCCCCCAGCTGCCCAACAGAACTGAGCTCAGCAGTCAGCTTTCAGCTCTGTCTTAGGGGGACAAGGCAAGGCTCAGCAGCAGCCTGAGATGAAGCAGTGTTTCAGGACCGCGCCTGCAGGTGCCACTGAGCTACACTATAAGAACAACACCTGCAGATGAGCGGTGAGGTGGCTCTGTGGCTCAGAATCTGCACCTGTGGCTGGAAGGTTGCCGGTTCGAATCCCGCGGCCGGCAAAGGAATCCTACTCTGTTGGGCCCCTGAACAAGGCCTTAACCCCAACTGCTCCAGGGAAGCTGTATAAATGGCTGACCCTGCGCCCTGACCCCAGGCTCCTCTGAGAGGAGTCTGGGGTATGCGAAAATGTAAGAATTTGTTTAGGGCTAATAAACTGATCTTATCTTAGATGAGGGCTTGGCTCATGAAGGCTGTGTAACTGAACTGAACCGGGAACTCATCCAATCAGCCACCACTTGAAGGACTCCAGGCTATCGGGCCTTGAAAACACCTTCCAGGCTCCCACAGCCTGTTGTGCAAATAAACATTTTAGGAGCACCTCCCCTTGGTTTCTGTTTGTGCCCTCTGGTTATTCTGTTTCTGACTGCTGAGCTGGAGCACACAGCTGAACTGCCACTAGTTAGATATCCGCTGTTTTCTCCTTCGGACAGCTGACTTTCCAAATACACAATTTCCCAGGTTAAATGGGGATTCAATGTAAGATTAACAAGATTTTCACAAATGTGCAACATTTTAGTATTCAACACGCATGAAGTTATTTACAGAGATCGCAAAATACTGCGTCTGTGATTAATCCTTTTTTCACTGTGCTTATGTTAGTCCTAAAAAAAAATGCGGTCAGCTTTCCGTTGTATTTGGGAACTGATACGGTATGGCCCACAGAATTTTCAAAAAAATGTAATCCGTGATGCTCCATTAGAAAAACAAATTATTAGTCTTAACATCTCACATGCAAGTAGCAACAACATTAAGTATAGAGCTAAGGGATTCTTAAAGTAGAAAGGTCAGTGGAAAAATCTACCTTTGACCCAGTTTACTTATTGAAAAAAAATATGGAAACTAAAATGAGCATTCATTTTGTCCTGCGAAGCTCGAATGACATTAATTTTAGAGAATACAAAAAAGGTAGCTATTTCAGTGAAATGAAGTCAGCTGTGCTTTGTTTCAACAAAGCCACTAGGTCATTTGCCTATGCAATTGCAGCACCTAGAGTACCCACAATGCCAGGAACAGCCACTGCATATTTAAACAACATTCATTATTAAAACAGGAAACCTCATACTGTTCATTTCAAACTGAGAACAGGAAACATGTCTTTGCCCAAAGGGATGTGGGAGTGGGCAACAAGCTACCCAGCTGAAGCTGAAGCTTTGTCTTCCTTCAAGAAACAGCTGGATGAAATCCTGGGATCAATCAACTTCCAACTATCAAACAGATCAGATGAGCAGAATAACCTCTCCCCATTGGTAACCTCTGTTTTATTCTTTTTTTTTGCATTCTATTCTTGATTTTACACACTTTTGTGTTTTAATCACATTTAACACTGGACTGCAATCTGATTAAAGCAGCCTCAGCCCACAGTGAGATTGTGAAGTACCCAAATATTTCACCCCTCTGTAGCAGGTTCATTTTAGCCCAGATATGGCATAGCACTATTGTTCTTTTGCTCTTGATTCCTTTCTGCTTCAACGTGCAGGCGTTTAAAATCCAGAGCACAGCTATGTGGTATATACACTGTGCATGATTGTGTACATGCCTGGACCAGCTGGTGAGAGTGTGTATGATGCAAGAACTTGTATTCCTGCTGATCTCCTGCAGCACTGTTGCGTTCACTTCCACAGCTGCATGACAATGTGTTAAGGGGAAAATCTATCCATGGAGGTGGAGGTGCATGTAGGTCTCACTTGACACTTTGTAACATTATTCTCATTCTAAAGCAGCATAGTTCATTTATGCCGTTACCTTACAACTGCTCAGGACACCTGTCATGGGACTTTGACACATCGACACATCGATATTCCAAATCGGTGGAATAATAAAGGTCTGATGAACTGCAAGGCTGGAGAGCCGAATGCAGGTAAAACGGACGACGTTCCTAAAGCAAATGTACTCAGGAGTGCAGCACGGTGAATAGATTTACTGTTCCAGTCTGTAAAGTACGTGTGCCACAAGACCCCTCCTTTCCCCTCTGGTGACCCTGTGCCATAAACCGTAAGGACACACATTATTTAACCTGTGTGAAGAAGAGCATAAAGTCTCTATATAAAATTAATTACTGGTGTTGATAATACTTTGAACTAGCTTATGAAATCACTGCCCTGTCCTATTTTGATTTTTCTGTTTAACGGCAGTGCACATATCAGGTCAACTACTGCACATACATTGAAAGCTACTTACGATATCATACATAAAGCTAGCTAGAATAAATTCTAACAGGAAAATATTGGTTTGCACAGCTTTTCCCGTCTTTGAGATAAGTCCTGTGCAAAAACCAAGATTACGGTACTATTTACAGTTTTAGACGCACCAAAACCAAAACCACTGAACACGATTCACACTCCCGAGGTCACCTTTTCTCTTCAGGAAATACAAAACACGTTGGATTTCCACATTCCATCGGACAAAGGCCAAAAGTGCCGCCTTTTTACAACAAAAGGCCACTAGCTTCTCTTTTCTTGTTGTTGTTCCGGTTGCTATTGCTAATCTTGCCACACGACAGCTTTGTTTTTTTCAAGAAAGGTGAGGAAACGAAAGAATGGATCAGGCATCGCTATTTGTCAATGACAAAGGGAAGCGCCGCGCAGTCTATTCTTGCGATCGGTTTTAAATTACTATCACTACATAAACGTGAAAAGTCCCCACGCAGCTAGCCCACATCCAGAGCATGAAAGACGCACCGTGCAGGAACCCCATGCAACCGTGTATAAGAGGGAAATGACACACGTACTACACGCATTTGCACTTATATCCAGCACATTACGCTTTACTGCGATATGAAATCCAGCAGCAGGACGGTCTTTCTTAGGGTGCACCATATCTAAATGCACCAGTGGTGTACAGACAGCAGATCAAGGATGTGAACCTACGTGTACATTCTCAGCAGTATCTGGACAGCTCAGCGCATGTGTAAGTGCACGATTTTCTTCCATTTAGCCACCTCGCACAGATCGTCCTTACCGCGCCCATAAAACCTCTTCCCGCTGGTCACATCGAAGACTTTCATATTCACTGCCATCAAGATCCGTGGGTTCTGCACACCATCGTATTCCCTCAGCTGCTCCAGAGTAAAATCTCGTCTCTTCATCTTGGGCAGAGACGCGGCCTCCTTCGCTTGGGCCGCATCCAAGCCGGCCCGCCTCCCCCACCTCCGGTAGATCCCGTAACAGAGGGCCAGCACCAACACTAAAACACTGACATTCAGCAACATGCCGCCTAGACCGAGCCCTGATTCAGCCTCCTCTGAAGTCCCTGGCCCGCCGCTAGTGTCAGCTGCTCCACTCCTTCTGTCTCCATCGTCCGCCATACTGCACGTTAGCGCCTACCCCCACAACACTGCCGCCCACTGGGGCTGGAGTCAAATCTGATTGGGTCACCACGACACAAGGCGTGGTTCACGTCGGGAGTTGTAGTATCTGCTCGGCAGATGTCGTGCACCCCTAAAAGACTACAGCTCCCTGTCACCCTCGCGTTTACATGATACCTGTAGTGAAAGAAGGCGAGTGATAATCAATTATTTTACCGGTTGCGTCAAATATTGATTTACAGCGAGGGCCTGGCTAAGAGGTTTACTTTCACTGTCACACAGAAGACAAATCAGTTAAAAAAAGAAGATAATTAACATTACATCCAGGTGGATGCTGCACATTGGTGGTGGTGGAGGGGAGTCCCCATTACCTGTAAAGTGCTTTGAGTGGAGTGTCCAGAAAAGCGCTATATAAGTGTAAGCCATTATTATTATTATTATTATTATTATTATTATTATTACTGGACATGACATATAACAGGACGTGGCAGTGTCGACAATTGCAACAGTGAGGCAGGCAAAACTCGGTCATACAACTGAAAACGCCCTCCGCTACGAGGATGGGTCATTTCAGTTTACTTCACAGGTTGTTCCAGTCATTGGCAGCGGTAAACTGAAATGACTTGCGCTTAAAGTTGTTGGTGTTGGATGGCTTAATTTGATAAACGTACTGCTATAGGAAAGTGTTTTCCCAATTAAGAATCTTTAAATTGAATTACGGCTAAAATTCAATGCATGTGTCTTGTATGCAACGGCCATTCAAGGATCAGATCGCAATGACGACTTGTACAGGTGGCGACAGTAATAATTACGGCAGACTAAGACATCACATTAACAAAAAGCAACTTTAAGCCTGTAAACCACAAGAACAGTATCCCTAGACCTCAAGGCAAAAACACGTCAAAGATACCAAAAGCTCCATGTTAGTAACAACAGGCAGTCATTTAATAATTGGATATAAAATAATTGACCATAAAAGTTCATTCAGACCAACATGTTCCCTTTTTATTAATCACTTTGAACTGCCATGTTTCCATTTCTACGTTTCAAGGACACCTGAATTGTATATGAGACAGTCTGCTTTTAGAATCTCAGATATCTTAATCCAGTATTTAATTATAACACTTTTAAACACCCTTTAAATATATTTAAGTCATCACTGGTTATTTTGGTTGCCTTTAGGCACAGAAGTCAAAGTTTGCCTGAATAGTTCCTTTATTTAGACTGAGATCACAAATATGCAAGAACCCATCTAAAAACAATACATCATATTTTATTTTGGCTATGGAAGCAGTTTATCTTTGCATTACTGTGCGGACGTTTTCTGTTTATATGGAAGAAAAAGTTTGTTTATCTGCAGTGCAGTATGTGCAAATCTGATAAGACCTGTGGCAAATGTTGATATTGCTCTTGTGGCTCCTGCTTGCTATCAACAAGTTTGGTGTTGTAATGTTATCTCAAGGATTATAAAGAGTAACTGTAATATATGAGATAAATATATCACATAATTCTCAGTTATGCATCTTAGTCCTGTGCACTCTGTTGAAATACTTTTGCAATGCTAGAGACAAATGGTCTGATTATCTACAGTAGTTTTGCAACCTATTATGCTATTAAAAAAATGAAATGAATGAAAAACCCAAAGCTTTAAGGGGTTTAAACCAGAGAACAGGTTTGATCTCAGATGATCTCAGCGGGTTTACGTCCAAGGACTAGTCTGGAAATTGTGAAAAATAAGAAAAGCCTGACCACCATCACAAAGTTACATTCTTGGTCAGTGTATTATTCCTGACCTCCTCACATTCCTGTTCAAACTAGAGCTCCCTGTTGCTGATTGAGCCTAAGCTGAAGCATCACCACTGGTCTTTTCTTGGATGCCATTGTTCTGAATCATAAATGCACAGATCAACATTGCAGCACAGTAAGTGAAACACATGTTTCAAAGACACAAGGAGCACATTAGTTATACTTCATATCTGTTGAACAAGATGCAACACTGATCACCAGTTTATCGAACTGTGAACGGTAGACCATCAAAATGCTCCCACACTTAGAAAGGGAATTCCTTTGTTGGACTGCAAATTTATAAGTGTTCTTTTTCTGTACAGGATTTGTAATTTCTCTGCAAGAGCTCCCTCTATGTGCAATTATTGTAGCGGCAATGCTTGTTAATAAGACAGATTTAAGTGTTGCGGTGCTTTCCCAAAT